AAAGGACATATGCGTCGGTTTCTTGTGCAACATGATGGAAGACACTATGGTCTATCCATTGTCGGATTTGACCAATAGTTTTTCTATTCATTTTCTTCCATTCTAACGCCTTGGACGGATCAGGGTTAATTCCCTCCAGCTCTATTGGGTCAAAGAGCTCTTTACAGCTGAGGAAATCCTCCATCCGAGGTTTCCACAGCGTATAGTTGGTAGCCGTGAGCATAATCATAGCTCCAGAAGATGAAGTTGACTCTTCTATGGCCATTTTGCACTTTCAATGATCTGTTTGGGACAAATCGGAGCTGTATTTGGAAAAATAGACAGCACCGTTGCGTCCGGAACAGTCGAAAATGGGGGGGGAGTTTTTTTTTTTTTTTTTTTTTTTTTTTTTTTTTTTTTTTTTTTTTTTTTTCGGTGATGACGTGGCAGCTGACTGGGACTGCTGACGTGGCAGTAGCTGGACCCCCTTCTGCTGACGTGGCAGGTGACTGGACTGCTGACGTGGCAGATGACTGGACTGCTTATGTGGCAGATGACTGGGTCTTCCTTGCTGATGTGGCGATGACGTGTCAGATGATGTGGCGACACGTCATCATCTTCTTCCTTAGGATTTTTTTTTTTTTTTTTTTTTTTTTTTTTTTTTTTTTTTTTTTTTTTTTTTTTTTTTTTTTTTTTTTTTTTTTTTTTTTTTTTTTTTTTTTTTTTTTTTTTTTTTTTTTTTTTTTTTTTTTTTTTTTTTTTTTTTTTTTTTTTTTTTTTTTTTTTTTTTTTTTTTTTTTTTTTTTTTTTTTTTTTTTTTTTTTTTTTTTTTTTTTTTTTTTTCGGTGATGACGTGGCAGCTGACTGGGACTGCTGACGTGGCAGTAGCTGGACCCCCTTCTGCTGACGTGGCAGGTGACTGGACTGCTGACGTGGCAGATGACTGGACTGCTTATGTGGCAGATGACTGGGTCTTCCTTGCTGATGTGGCGATGACGTGTCAGATGATGTGGCGACACGTCATCATCTTCTTCCTTAGGATTTTTTTTTTCTCAAAACTTCAGAAGGATATAACTCTCAGCTCCGGTGTCCGTTTTTCGCCCGTAAGATACCGTTGCGACCGTCTCGACGAGACGAATCTAACGGTGTTCTTGGAATCGAATTTCGAGCACAACTCAGAAACTCGAAATTTCTACAGAGGCTCGGAAAAATTCAAAATTAAGCTCGAAAGCTTCAGACCAAGCTCTGATACCACTTGTTGTGGTATCGTCCCAAGATCATAAACATAATTGAGAGAAAAATAAGTTTCTATTACTCACAAGAATAAAAACAAGAGATTTACAA